AGATTCCTCCTGTGATGCCACCTGGCTGTGCAGATGGTGGGATCCAAAGGGGTAGGAGGTACAGCTGCGTCCTTGTGTCAGAGGCCTGTGAACCGGAGTGACTCCATCTTGAAAAGGAGCTGGGTAAAATGAGGCTGAGATCTACTGGGCTGCCTTCCCAGACGGTTAAGGCATCCTAAGTCACAGGATGAGATAGGAGGTCGGCACAAGATACAGATCATAAAGACCTTGCTGATAAAACAGTCCGCAGTAAAGAAACCGGCCGAAACCCACCAACACCAAGATGGCCACGAGAGTGGCCTCTGATGGTCCTCACTGCTACACTCCCACCAGCTCCGTGAGAGTTTACAAATGCCATGGCAACGTCAGGAAGTTACCCTAGATGGTCTAAAAACGGGAGGCATGAATAGCCCACCCCTTATTTAGCATATCCTCGGGGTTGCTCTAGGGAGTAGCCATTCTTTTGTTCCTTTACTTTCCTAATAAACTTGCTTTCACTGTATGGACTCGCCCTGAATTCTTTCTTGCGCGGGATCCAAGAATGCTCTCTGGGGGTCTGGATCACGACCCCTTCCTGGTAACACTCGCACTGCCCATTTGGCCAGGACTGTGCCCTGTGGATTTTGTCATTTATTCCCGCAGACCCTGAATGAATGAACCACCTCCCAGCACACAGGTGTGTGCCAGGATTTACCTTCTGTGGAGGGATGATGCTGGCTTTCTGTTCGCAGCAAGCTGTCTCGGATCAGCTGTGTGACTTAGGGCAAGTGAAATCGCTCTCTGTTTCCTTACATGAAAGTGACAGGTAAGGGACGTAAGTGGAGGGAACTTGGCCAGCGGGTCTCTAAGATCTACCTGCTCTGAGTTTCTGAGTTTAACAGATCTGTCCCAAGCAGGACAAATATCCTTGATCTTTGCAAGGATGTGGACTGGGCTGCCACTGTCTCAGCCAGGGACGTGCAGGGTGTGACTCCTCTTCTGAGCTGTCCTGTAGGTCTGGGTGAGGTTCCAGCTCCAGGCCCTCGGCTGTGCACCCATCAGAACCCGCAGGGGAGGCCTGCTGGTGGAGCGGGGACTCCCCCACTTTCTGCTGACCTCGGAGACCTGTGAGAAAAGGGACTGGATTTGGGAACAGCCCAGTCCTACGCCCCGCAGCTACGGAGACGGGTTCCCACCCAGGATAAGGCTTCGTTCGTTGTGAAGCCGAAGGGCTGGGGAGAAGCGCCGTGTGTTTTCCAGAAGATTCTCCCGGGGCGGGGTGGGCAGCGCGGTTAGCCCCTGGGAGGGAAAACCTGTGGTCCCCACTGGGCGGCCGGCGGCCCTAGAGGCAGCCCGCGGTCAACCTGCGGAGCTTGTCCACGAGCCTGCGCCAGCCGCACGTCTCTGCGCTGCGTGTCCTGTGTGGCCACAGCCAGCACCGG